AAATGGAAGAAAACATTGACCTCTGTCTGGCAGCCATGTGTAAAAGTCCACTACGTGAGGCTGCAGCGTATCGAAACTACCTTCCACTTAGCTTTATTGCCTCTAGTCCAAGCGTCAATTGTCTGAAATTGGACAAAATTGCACGAGAGATCACTTCGCCCACTGCCTCATCGCCTTTGAAAATGTCCACCGCAGTTGTGGACGAAACGTCAGGAAGAAATTCCGATAGACCACGGCTTCAAAGCCCGGAAAACATTCCTAAATGTAAAAAATTAATTGTTATTAAAGTGAGAAATTTGCAAGGAACTATATCAGAAAGACGGCAACAATGTTTTCCAAGGTAATCTGCCTAATTAACATTACGTTGCAACACCTGTTGCTTCGTAATTATTTAAAAAATCCGGTAACCATGGAAACGGATGACAGGATGCGTTAAATGCGGCAACGTAGTTTTTCGAAATGTAAATTAACGTCATCGTAACTTCGAACTGATGTGTTTACAAATAAACACACACTTCAGTTTTTTAAGTTCAAACAAGTTCGTGCCTGTGTAATCACGATATTGCGCACTCTTCTCGAACAGCTTCTCGTATTAATCTCGGTTAATGAACTCCTGCTCAATTTGTACCGGTGTTGTAGTAAACCATTGATTTAATGGGTCCGAGTGTTCTGTGCATCTTACATACGTGGTAGGACTGTAGCCCTTCCTCGGTATTTAATTGCTGCCTGGGTGGTGCCCAATGATGAAAAACATGTTTTGCATCATTGCCGCTTTGACTTTTCATCAAAAAATTGTAGAAGAGAACTTTTTTAATCTCAAGAATTTTCGTAATGTGAAGCAATGCTGAAGTACCTATTCCAATATGCTTTAACTGATGGGCGACTAAAACTAAGAGCAAGGGCGGATCCAGGGGGGGGGGTCATGAGGGTCAAGCATTTTTTGAGAAAACTGCCAACATTTCCCCATCCATGGTTTACTTTCTAAAAAGGCCATTTATTTCTGTCTAGAATGATGTACAAATGAGTGTTCTTGCTCATTTGGCCTCCGAGAAATGAGCAAAAACGGGACGGAAAACATGAAATTTTGGCATAATCTTGCACGTAAGTGTCTGATGATCAAATTTCGCTTTCTGGGTCAAAACTACTCGAATTTCCTCACTCACGTTGTTTCGTCTGAATCGATTTTTCAATTTTCTATCCAACGATGCCAAAACGAATTCTGTGGCTCGAATGGTTCTTGAGAAACTTGGAAAAAAGCAGCGTCATGTTCAAGTGGATTTTGCAACAAAAAAAAACCACGCAAACCTAAAACTTCTTGATTTCAAGCATTTTTTGAGAAAACTGCCAACATTTCGCCATCCATGGTTCACTTTCTAAAAAGGCCATTTATTTGTGTCTAGAATGATGCACAAATGAGCGTTCTTGCTCATTTTGCCTCCGAGAAATGAGCAAAAACGGGACGGAAAACATGAAATTTTGGCATAATCTTGCACCTCAGGGTCTGATATTCAAATTTCGCTTTCTGGGCCAAAACTACTCGAATTTCCTCACTCACGTTGTTTCGTCTGAATTGATTTTTCAATTCTCTATCCAACGATGCCAAAACGAATTCTGTGGCTCAAATGGTTCTTGAGAAACTTCGAATAAAGGCCATTTAGTTATCTCTGGAA